AACGCTTTAGAGAGGAACTTCGTCCAGGACAGCCATCAGCATAAAGTGATGAACAACAGATCTATAAAATAAAAGAATTTTTGCATCAAAATCTACGATTAGTGTTCTTTTACTGCCTTTGCTAGAATATGGGAAGGATCAGTGAATGATCATTTGAGTTTAAGAAAAGTGAAAGCACGACTAGTCGCGAAATCACTAATTTTTTTTCGAAAAACTACTATTTCGAAACCGATAATAAGACATAAATTAGTTGAGCAAGCGTGTGTACATGTGCAACCACTCGATACGTAGATCATATGAAAACATGGCGGTAGATTAAAAGACTTAAACGTGACATACGTGTCATGTAGGTAACTTTTAAATATACAAAATATCACGCGTGTTTTTGAGAGAATCGCCAGCAAGAAAACTACTAAAAACAATAACAGCTAATTGACAGTTGCTACTGGGCAAAAACAAGTGTCAAAAAAATAACGAAAAACAACTCGAAACTTAGCTGTTCTTCTTTTGTACGACGCCACTATTAGATTAATGACTGAAACATGAAAAATAAAAAAAACGTTGGCGTCCAAAGAGTTCTTTGAGGCTATTATTTGAACTATTTTGATGCTAACGTCTACCTACTTGTCATCGAAAATCTCCTAATAATCCGCATAAGAAGAGATAGCTGTTCCGTAAACGAATAGTTAGTTAAATACTTTACCCTAACTGGGATCCAAACTAAGAGTAATTATTATGTAAATTAAATTACCATGAACCTTWTATTTTGAGTACTTTTCTGGATTGCTAAGAGATGTATCTAAATACTTAAGCTACTACCAAATAGTTATTAAATTTAGAAAGAAGATGATATCGCTCTCAATGCTAGTGAAGGTCGGACCAATAGCAAAGGCATCCGGCTTAAAGTTCTTATTGTAACTTATCATAGTGGAATCGCTGGAAACTGCTAAGCCAATAATCTTACCAGAAAGTTTAGTCTCATCCGACTAGGCACGAGTCGGTGCTCCGCTGACCTATTGAATTATGTAGGTCTGTGAATTTTGTGCGAGATTTTCTTTTGGTTCAAAATAAAACACCAGAGGTTCATGGATTGGTTTGTGGTCAACAACATAAACTTTTGTGAGGCTGTGAAATTTTTTTTTAACAAAATATAGCATTTTAGCTACTAACTCTTCACAAAGTCAATCATGCTGCAATTGTAGGTGTTCGAGTGTGCACTGTCTGCGGTACGCTTAAATATTTGAAAGAAGATTACGTGGAATCACTTAGGCACTTTATCGTCTAATATACATCTTTTGCCTGACTGAGACTTAAAGATCTCAATATACATGTAACATAATAAAATTGTGATTAACACAAATCAGAGGACCCGGCGATTAATATTTAGGAGTTTTGGGCACCGCATAAACTAAAGTTTACCGCTGTATAAGTTAGATCTTGCGCTATACTTTACAGGAAGATCACTCTACGACTTAATACAACTTAACATAATCAAAGCGATGGTCTTTTTAATTTATAAAAGCTATAGGGACAACAGCGGCTCGACGTTTCTAACTATCCAAATGTGATCATTCGTAGCTTGACGAATATCAGCCTGATTACCTCAACTAATCTAATGTTAAATTAATGCAGTAAAGGGTGCATATAGTGAAATTGGAGTTTATTTAAATATTCTGTGAGGATGGTAAATTAATTATTTAAAATTTAATTTCATATAATTTTTCATTTGCAAGTTTTTCGATAAAATCAGATATTCCCGCAAAATCTGTGA